CTTGGATGATTTAGAAGTCACTTTAGGATGTTAACAGCGGCTCAGAGTCATTTTTGTCAATAGCTGCCTGTATGGGATGCCGAAGGTATTAAAACTGGATTGAGTTAAATTGATTGCAGAACTGGGTCATGCCCAAAATATATCACATTTTCACTTGCCACTTTTTCCTTTCTCTTAAAAGTCAATCAAGAAGGTACAAGTTAAACTCTGGTTAATTTGGATTCACAATGCATTAGAATTTATGGTATACACAGAGTTGAAGTATACAGTTAACAGTTTTATATTGAGTACACTTTTAATTAATCCAGAATAAGAGGGAAGGGTGTAGCTCCATGGCGGAGTGTGTGCCTAGCATGCATGAGGTCCTGGGTTCAATCCCGAGGGCCGGAATTAAAAAAATAAATAAATAAACCTGATTGCCTACCCGCCCCCCAAACAAATAAAAATCCAGAATAGTACGAAGCAAAGCAAAGTACTTACATTAGCTGCACCAAGAAGTATTAATGTAGGTCCAAGACCTATAGTATATATTGATCTGAGCATTATTGACACAAGAAATGGCCGAATACCCACAGGCTTGGAGAAGAAAAACAGCACGGATGTGCAGACTGCAACGGCTATCCAAAGCACAACTGAGAACAGTGGTGACAGTGTCCCTGTAAAATGTGGAAGAAGTTTATTTTTACTGTGAACATAACTAGAAAATGTTTAAGTATTTGCTGCTCTACTTTATATAATACAGCAAGACAAGCCATAAGACACTGAATTTCAAAACAACCCACTCTGCACGCTGTACGTTTAGAGGAAATGTCTTTGTACACATTTCTCACTATTACATTTCCAGAAAGTTTGTGATGAATTCCAGGCGGCTTAAATACTCACTTCACTAGTTAATGCTTCTTTCACTAAGTCTGAGACTTGCTCATCTTTCTCTCCCATTATGGGAGTTACACGCTAAGTACTTTATGGATTGCGGAATCTCACTTGGGAATCTTAATTCAAAATTTATGATTAATGACCATTAAATGCACAGCTAAATCATATGGAATTAGGCACTGAACTCATAACTTGTCCTGTTCTATTATTATCACGTTTTTCTATTACAGATTCCTCTAAAGAATTCAGAATATAGAATATCCAATCTTTAATGAAACAGACCTAAGCTTTAACTATTAAAACACACAAGTGTAGGGGGGGGAAGGCATAGCTCAGTGGTAGAGTGAATGCCTAACATAAATAAGTCCTAGGTTCAATCCCTAGTACCCCCATCAAAGATAAATAAAACCTAATTACCTCTCCCCAAAAATATAAAAACTAAAAAAAAAAAAAAAAATAGAAAACCTAATTACCTCCACCCAAAAATAAAAAAAAATTCAATAAATAAATAAAAGCATTAAAAAAACACACAAGTGCATTTATGTGTATGAAAACATAGGTATATGTATGAGTGTGTGTATCTGAAGGTTAACTCAAGTTCTAAAACAATGTTCAGCTATTTAAATCATCAGGAAACAAAAGTTTCAAATGTTTCAAAAATGAACCCCATTACAAGAATTTCTTTAGAAATTACCCAAAACTGGTTTAAAAATATACTTCCATTTAAAAAAGAAAAAAAAAGGACAATTCATTGACATTTGCACTGACATGTGGATTCCAGGAATCCCCCTGGTCATGTGGTGCTGCATTTGCAGAAGCAAATTAAGGGTCAATACTCTTGGGCTGATTAGACCTCAAACATGTGTCTGTCAGCTGATGATGTCAGAGGGAAACAACAAAATAGAGATTTTCCATTAGTTATTTCTTTGGGCCACACCTCTTTTTATTATTTATAAAATTCACTTCTGCATGCAAAACACCACAAGTGCCCTGCTGTGCAGAGTTACTGTATTATCCTGGAAACCATGGGGTTATCTGGACTCCTTCAACAAATTCTGCACAAGCCTTTAGTACACGGTGAGTGCAAAGGGATCAGAAGTAGGTGGACGATCCTAGCAGACATTAAAAAATCAAAACAACAAAAGTCAGATAGTGAACAGCACTAGTTTAGACATGTTTGTTTTTGCAATGTTGTTCTTATCTTTATGTTATCTCTTCAAGCACACAGTGATGAAAGAAGGTTGGGAGGAGAGATCTGATCTGCCCCCTCATCAATTGTGTGATCTGATAAGATTAGCCTGGAGATGGGGAAAGAAGAGGGCTAAGTTGCTTGCTCTGGGAATTACCTTCAATTCCTGTCCTCTGGTGACACTAACCAAATGAGTACCCAGCTCATATTTATTAAGATGTTGGTTTATAAGTCGTCTATGTCTGCCAAGACGTAGCCTGACCACCAACTGCCCTGGTCTCACACATCACAAAAAGCCACGGACAGAAAATGCCTTCAACTTTCTCTCCTGCTTATTGGGGTGCTATCAGCATGTGAGCTCTGGAAGCGTGAGGACCACCTATCACAGTGCCTGGGGTGCAGTACCAAGTAGATATTTGTTGACAAAATGAAAAACACAACCTGTGAGCTCGTCTGGCGTCAGTCAGTCTCCAGCTATAAATTCCCAAGTCATGGAGCTTCACTCTGAAGTTTACTAGAACTGCCAACATCTTTGCACATTTACCAGCTCTTAGCCAGTCACTGAACTCTTCAGCTCTTCAGTGTAATTCATAAGCAACAACTTGGTGTGACATTCTTATTTTAAAAGTCTCAGCTTTGACACTGACAGTACTGTCACTGATGCCTGACCAGCTAACCACATCTTGACTGCTCTTTCCCAGACAGTGTCTGGCTTGCTACGATTTCCCCCTTGATTAAATAAGAAATTACAATCGTGCACTTTAAACTGGAGCGTTTGATCTCTTTGTAGAGAGAGCTCAGTGTCTAGCCTAGTCCCTTGCACATAGTTTTATTTTAAATATGTATTTGTGAATAGTAAATAAATTTGTAAGTTACTTAAAATGGCTATTAATTTCCAGTACTGTCAGTTGACAACTGAGAACAGTCTGTGATTATATTCTGTAAGAATGATCATATTATTTTCTAGCTGAAGATTTGATGCTTAAAAAAAACCTGAAATCCTCTGACAAACTCTAGAGAAGACAGTGTAGACTGTTCAAGGCATTTTTTTACCCATTAAGGGAGGAAAGAGGGGACTGTCTTCTTAATACTTTGTATTCGTTTCAATTTTCTACAATGAGCATGTATCACTTTTATAATGCAAGAAAATTTTTAGAATTTGCTCTCAATGTTTTTAAATGTTAGAAACTATGAAGTCTGTCTTTTAAAAAAGAAAATTCAAATAGCAAAATTAGAGACCTCAATTCAATTCACATAATGGGACTCTCTGGTCTACCTCACAGTGCTGTGCCTGTAGTTTACTTATAGAATGTGCTGCTTCCGACTTCCTTCTCTTCATTCCTCCGCCTTCTGAATGGCCCCCAACTCAGTCCAGCTAAAGTCTATGGGTGCCTTATTCCTCTCTTCATCCCTTAACTAGACCCTGAGCTCCTTGAGGACGAGGACAGCTTTTCCAACCTTCGTATCTCTAGGACCCAGCACAGTGCCTGGCACCCAGCCGCACTCTATTGATGGCTGTTAGTCAGCTGAGTGCGTTAAAATCACCTTGAAGAACTTATTTCCTTTAACACAAAGCACTGGCGGGGGAAAAGAATTCCACTCAAAATTTGAACATGATTTTTTTTTAACAATCACATGCTATCTGGGTATCAGAAATCCCCATGGCAGCAATTTTGTCTAGTCTGCCTTTGCCAAACCGGGCAGGGGTGGTTGGCATGGCAACGCGCAACTTCTGCGTGGACATCCAGGAGATTCCCCAGCATCAACAGCTGTGGCTTCAGCCGCAACCCACACAGCCTCATTCCTCAACTCTGGCATAAGTTTCTTTTTTAGAGAAGCACATGTTAAACATATAAACCAATCAACCAAACAAGGAAACCCAGACCGAAACCCACAACCACACAAATAAGCCCTGAATTCCTGAACAAACTGAAACAGAGCTCTTTGAAGCCTGGTAACGAAAGGAGGTTATCTGCATGCAGTAGGGATTGGGAGGGTGGGTGCCCTATAAGCTGATCCTCTGAGAATCACCTTCCTGCTATATATCTCCCTTTAATGACTGTACACTGCCATCCTGGCTGAAGGGAGACATTATCCTTTCAGTTACTACTTTTACCCAAGTGTGAACTAGATACCTGGGCACAAGTGATTCCTAGTAGCTCATGTGTGATCAGGCTGGAGACTACGCTTGGAGGAAGCATTCCCGGCCCACTTCCTCCACCAGCCCCTCTGTCCTCACTGCTACAGGGGCCCCAGTGACGCAGGGACAGCTTGCATTACGGTCTGGAGTTGGGAAAGGTGGCCCATCTTAACCACAGATCTCTTTTTTTGGCCCAGGATTCAACAGGTGATTTTGTGATCAACTTCTATACCTAGAATCCAGGAACCTCAGAGGTGGATGGACAGTGTACCCATATTTACTTTTCTTTAACTTTCTATTTAAAAATTCTTTCAGACGAATGTTACAGTTGCAAGCATAATACAAAATTCCCATATCCCCTTCACCTAGATTGCCCAAATGTCAACACCTTACATAACCACCTTACCATGACCAATATCAGCAAATCAATACGATATATACACCACGTTAATCTACAGACCTTATTCAAAGTTCATCAATTGCCCAATTAATGTCTCTTTTCTGAACCAGGATCACACGTTGCATTTAGCTGTCATGTCTCTTTTAGTCTCTTTTCATTTAATTCCTCAATATTTCTTTGTCTTTCATAAGCTTCAAGAGTAAGGGCCAATTATCTTGTAGAATGTCCTTCATTCCAGGTTTGTCTGAAGTTTTCTCAATTTATACATTTTTGGCAAATGATGCCACGTCCTTGTCAGTGCGTCATGTCAAGAGGCACGTAGTGTTGCTGTGTCTCATTACTGGTGACAGTAACATTGATCACATAGTTAAAGTGATTTCTCCCCTTTAAAGGCACTCTTCTTTCTTTTATAATAAGTATGTCGTGGGGAAATACTTGAAGACTACATCAGTATCCCCCTTCTCATTATACTTTTTCACCTAATACTCACCTATTAATTCTAGCATCCACTGTTGATTCTTACTACCATGTGATGTTTGCCAAATGGTGACATTCTGTTTCCATTATTCCTCCTACAGTTATTAACTGGAATATTATTGTAAGGAAGAACTTTCTCTTCTATCAATATGGACTCCTAGATTCTTATTTTATTCTATGGGTTATTATGTATTACTGTCAATATTTTTTTCTCAAAATTTCCACAGGGTTGGCCACTGGGAAATCTTTCAAGTTGGATCCTGTGTTTTTGACATGTCCCTTTTTTTCCCCAGCACTTTTTAGAAGGAATCTTAATGATCAACTAATTCATCTTTAAATCACCTCGAAGTGCTCCTGCCAAGGAGTCATCCGGCCTATGTTTGACAAAATCCGGTGTTAAGAGACTTGCACGTCCAGCACAGAATTCACCTTGTCTGATGGCCGGGTGTGCTGGTCAGTCTTAACTTTGTTTCCTCAGCCTTCCCAGCTCTGAGTAGTGTGTAACTGAAGGTGAGAGGCTCAGCTAATCCTGATCAAAATTGTAACGGTATTCATGAAGTTATGATTAAATAGCCCATCGAGAACTATGTTCAGATGATGTAAACATCTGGGACTCCACGTGGCCTAAATGGCAGCTCATGCCTCCCTTCCCCTCTTAGCTCCATACCCACAACCAGACCCCTAAGAAAGAGCCTCTACCTTGGTTATCTGCCCTCAACTTGTATTCAGTCCTTTTTGAAGAGCAAAGGCTGCATGTGCACTGTTTTCCTGTCTTGTTTTTGTTAGTTGTTTCTTTCTGAGGCTGGAGCCTCAACTCCAAATTCTACCACATAGGCAGTTTCAAGTTCTTGTTCAAGGGCCAGTTGTGTTAGCAACACCTTGGGAACTGGTGGAAAAAGTGTACTTCCAGACTCTACCCCCAAATTATCGGGCAAATCTTCCTAAGCCTCAAATTCTTCATCCATAAGGATGAAGTACTTACTTTCCAGGACTGTCAGGAAGATGAAACGAAATGATGTGTGCGATGTGCTTAGCGCTGTGTCTGACCCAGTCTAGACCAGTATGACTATTATAACCGTTTTTAGTCCGGCGGGTACTAGAGATGTGTCAGGTGTTCTACTTTCTCCTGAATGAGGGACGAGAAGATGTCCGGAGGGGCGCCCTCCCCAACCCCCATTACATGTCGTGCACAACAGGTGACAGCAGAGGCTGTGTCCTTTGGCTCTGGCGGTCTCATAAGGGATATCATGGAATGGAACGCAGGGAAAATGACGTCCTGCACGAAGGGGCACCTGTTCTCTATATGCTTCCAACCTAATCATCCACGCAGAGAAGTCCTGGATTGTAAACAAAAGCATTCGCTAACCTTCTACTCCGAGAGCTCCCAGCTTTAGCTTCTCTGTGCGTCCACCTCTTTATCTGACAAATGACCATTTGATATTAGATGATTTCCAGAAGTGCTCCCATATCTAAGATTTTATGCTTCTATTAACCGGGACGCTACAATCTACTCTCTCTTAGCATCCGGTGTGCAGATGATACCCATTTATCATTTCATGTGGGACTTCTCTCCTCACAAGGGTCACATTCCTCTGCACCAAGAGGGCTGTCATCACTAACTGAGACTAAACTCAGTGAAGAGAAAGCCGTTTCCACTTCCTGCTGCATTTGCAACTTCCCAACGATGGATGGCCAAGTATTTGCTGTTTTCATTGCGATTTAACTCACACGCCTGCTCCATTGCCAATAGTCTTCTTTTATTAGCATTGGCGTGCCTTCTGAAAAGCTCAAACTTTTTTATGACCACGCAGATTATACTGAAAGGTTAGAACTTCGATATCCACCACATCCGCAGTGAACCTGTGAAACAGCACATTGCTCCTGCACGAGCATCCTCCCTTCCGGCTCACCTCCAGTTCTTCTGAAATTGGCTTCAATAACTCTTGCTCTTATCATGACATCCTTTTCACTGAGCTTCCCTGTGTGGTGTCACTATTTCCCTTGTAACACCAACAACACCCATGACAACAAGCTTTAGCAAATGCTCACCAGACGCTATTCTAAGCGCCTTACCTCCAGCATCTCATCAAATTCTCACAATAGTCCAACGAACAGATCAGACACAAAAGCAACTTGTGGTTGCTATGTGTTGGCATCTCTCGTGTTGTCCTCCAAGCTGTTCTTTCAACACCCGTTTCAAAGTTATTCACCTGGATCTATCCCAAACCCATGACATACTTTCCCATGCACCTTTGTCAGATTTAAACCAAACTTGATTTCCACAGTTCCACCCGTTAGCATATCGCTCCTAGGATTTCCCATTTCACTTAAAATGGGATCTTTTCTCTTGTTTTTGCTTTTGCAAAACTTCATGCATTAATAGTTTAACAATATTAATTTCACAGTCAGTCCTTCCGCTCTATTATTATACTGTCTCATGCTGTAACGTTTAAAAATTGTTTTCCAGCTCATATGTGGAATCTAAAACACAAAAACAAAAACAAACAAACAAACAAAAACAAAGCATAAATACAGGACAGAAATAGACTCACAGACAGAGAATACAGACTTGTGGTTACCAGGAGGGTGGAGGGTGGGAAGGGATAGACTGGGATTTTAAAATTGTAGAATAGATAAACAAGATTACACTGTATAGCACAGGGAAATATACACAAAATGTTACGATAACTCACAGAGAAAAAAATGTGACAATGAGTGTGTATATGTCCATGAATGATTGAAAAATTGTGCTGAACACTGGAATTTGACACAACATTGTAAAATGATTATAAATCAATAAAAAATGTTAAAAAAATTGTTTTCCAGATTACCCGCATGCTCATCGTAGAAACTTTAGATGACACTGAAAGCAAAGAGAGTAAAATAGAGATTCTGCTATTTAAGGTAATCACCATCAACATTTTGGCAAACATCCCTCATTTTCCCATTTATTTATATAATTGAGATGCTATGGTATAAAAAAAGCCTTTGGTCATAATAACTAGGGAGAAATAAATTTTTCAGGGCCTTATCTGTCAATATATGATATAGCTCAAATGTTCTTCTGTAGATGAGCTTTTGGAAAAGTATTTATACTGACTATAGCTTTCTGCCTACTCTACTTACCCTCATTCTCTACTTTCAATGAATAACGAAAATCTATTTACTGAGAATTCAATGGCTGGAATTGGGACGCTCTAAATAGTTAAGGCATGCATCAAGAGTATTATTTTTGGAACTCTAAAATACTTATCATTTAAAGACAGGCAATTTGAGATTTGCAAATGTTACCCATTATATATAAAAATAGATAAAACCCCTAAATTTCTTCCACATAGCACAGGGAACTATATTCAATATCTTGTAATAACCTTTGAATGAAAGAGAATATGAAAAGGAATATTTGTATGTATATGTGTGACCGGGACATTGTGCTGTACACCAGAAATTGACACATTGTAACTGACGGTACTTCAATAAAAAAATACAGACAGACAAGCACTTGCCTTCATCTCCATCATCCCCAAATGGGTAGAAGAGAGCCACAGCCAAGTTGATGAACACAGCCAGGTTGAAGGAGATGCTGCCCCAGAGGGATATGTGCCTCGAGAACCAGAACAAGGCGGGGTTACCTAGTGGGCAAGAAGTGCGGTGGAGCAGACAGAATGAATTTTGGTTTCAGCCCCAGAGCCCTGCTGAGATAACATTTTGCTAAATGCACTTTTGTAAACTAGTGTAAAAAAGCATGTTTAAATAAACACTTACTGTGACTGAGTTTAGAACACTTACAATCAACACCATCAAAGAGTTTTCTATATGACTCCTTCTTTATCCTTAGCCAGTTTACACCTAAACCACTGTAGAAGGGTGAGTTAATTCTGCAATCGCTAAAGGGGGTCAGAAAAGACAATTCTAGAATAATTCTCTTTAAAATATCCATAGAGTAGGTTAGGAGAAAGTTTAGTAGCTGCATGGGGCCCCTCTTAATGACATGGTACACACTGCTGTAATTTAGGAATACTGATAAATTGGTCTTACCCCTATATCTTAAAGTCAAATACAAACCCCTCATACACATATTATCTTGGGTAACAATTCCTATGACATGGTCACAGTTAACTGAAACTGAAACTTAATAGCATGGCATAGTCCCGCTTACCAGGAACTAGTGATTTATAATACTACGTAAGTTTTAAACCTTAACACTTCCTAAGAACTTCTTGGGTTTGCAATAGCAGAAGAAAATGCAAGATGCAGTAAGAACTGCCAGTAAGTGAGAGAGGCTTTGCTGAACATTTTCAGAAATGGGATTCTGTATCTGAGTTAGCAGACTTATGTACTGAATACAGTTTACATCAACCCAAAATCAGTTCTTCCTCCCTTTCCTAAAAAGATATGTCATGCATGTAAGTTGGACGTGTGACTTATTCAGGTTTCGTCCATTCTCTAACCCTCAATATCTTAACATCATGTTTTAAATATTGGGGTTCATTGATGGGGAAAGACACTTCAATTTCCAAATTAAAATTTTAAACTTTTCAAATTATGTTCTGCGAATTCCAGTCTCACGTCTGGTGCTTACTTATAAACTGCACTTCCCCTCAGGACATCTTGTTTTCCTTCTCTTGGAACGGAGCATTCCCACACTGGAGCAGGCTATGATTAGCCATGGCATTTAGTTGACTAATGTGTCATAAATTGTAAACATCTGCACCTCCATCATTCCTGAATTAGGAGTCCTCATTTTTTAAAAGGAGAATATTAAGACCAAATTAGAAGATGTTGCTGCATACGTTTGTAATAACAAATCCATCAAATGAATTAGAGTCTTTCTCTAGCCCCATCATAACTTGCTTCCAAATTTTAAAAGTAATGTGAAAATGAATATTTGTATGCATATGCATGACGGGGACATTGTGCTGCACACCAGAAACTGACACATTATAACTAATTACACTTCAGTAAAAAAAAAGATTTTAAAAAGTAAAAGGTACATCGGAAATTATTTCCAGATTTCTTTTTTGATAAAGGACAAAATATTTATCCAAAAAAGCACCAAACCCACAAGCATTAGTACATTAAAATAACTTTTTGTCAAGAATAAAATGTATGTTTTTCAAATGCCCCAAATAAAATTGCTGAGTTTTCAACTGTATTCTGGACACTCCAAATTTTCTCTGAATTCCATAAGGTTCTACATGGTAAAATGCAATGGGAGAGTCATTTCTTTATTTGGTCAAATATTCTGCTAAGAAAGTCTGACAATGCGTGCCACAATCTTATACCCAAAGACACTGTCTTAAGCTCAACCAAAGTCATAAGCCGCAATCATTAAAGTCCCTAGAAAATTAAAATGATGAAGCACTGTTGAATAGAGGTATTGAGAACATATACCTGCCTGCCTGGAAAAATCCCCCCCAAGACAGAAAAGACTTAATCAAGAGTTTTCCCTTATCAATTTTTGTTAAAAACTCACGATCTTCCTTATCTGGGAAAATGAAATTTATTTTAAACTTGAAAATTTTCTTAATTTTAAAGTTCAGGATTTCCAAATAGACTTGAGATGTGAGAAATAAGTCCTGGGACGGGGGAGGGTACAGCTCAGTGGTAAAGTGCATGCCTAGCATGCACGAGGTCCTGGGTTCAATCCCCAGTACTTCCATTAAAGATAAAAACTTAAATAAACCTAATTACCTCCCTCCCCAAACAAAGAAAAGAAATAAGTCATGGGAACTATACTGTGCTAACTCTTAGCTAGCTTTATTTGAAGACACGTGTCACACAATTTCTACTTTGATTTGGCGAGATAAAGATACGTTAAAAGAAGGAATGACTTTCGGAGAAAACATTAAACAATCTACTCAGTCGTAAGACCGGAGACACAAGAGGACAAGCCTGCTGGCGCCGAGGTCTCTCCACCCCATTTACTGACCATTAAGGCCAGTCAGGGCCCATTCATGGACTTCAAACCAGCAGCTGCGTAGCAGCTGAAACATACAGCTGCGATCTTGCATGTCATAATATTTATGAAACTATAGGATTTGCACCAAAAGACGATCTAATTAGTCAGAGTTTTCTGTTTTCCTTAAGCCACAGGTGTCTTGGCTTCAGTTGTAGACTGAGCTGACGTTCTTAAGCCAGTAAGTGATATCAGTAACATCAGACAGCAAGAAATTAAGAGCCAGTTTAAACGAATGCCGTCACGTATCCCTAAGTACCACTGTATCTAACATCATGCTCAAGACAAACCATTTCAGTTCATCGTACTTACTCCTGATTTTCTTCTGCCACTTCATCTCATTGTAGAGGTCTTCCGTTTGCTGGAAAAAGTCATTCACCTTACTTCCCTGTTCATCCCTTTCCGTGGTGCCGAACACGCGGCACTTGGATTCTCGCGTGAGGTATTCACATATGTTGGGGACAGGAAACACTATTTGTTCCATTGTCCTATCATGCCGAACAATCTGCAAACATTAATTCACATTCGGTTTAGGCTTGGGACAGTCTTAGATTATTTTCTGTTTTTTTAGCATGAGTTTATGAATGATACTTTATGAATTTAGTTATGAAAAATTATGCCAACTTGAAGCATCTGAAATAGTCCTCTCCTGTACCACTTAACATTTTTCTCTTTAAATGAGAGAAAGGCTGACTAATGCATCATAAGTACTATACTTTGTTAGAAATAGCAAAAAGCAGAATCTTTATTCTTTCTGCATTAGCATTAAACTCTTGCCACTCATTTTTATTTTCATGAAGTGCATCAGAGAACTAAGAGGGTCTTAACTGGCAAGTGACTGGCCACTTGGTATATTTACAACTTGCTCTTATCCTGTCCTTCCTAAAAAGGGCTGTTGGGGAACAAATGACATACTCAATATGAAGTGCCCTGAGTTCCACAGAGAAAAATGCTTTCTGTCATTAAATGCTGTCCTGCTCATGGCAAAACACATTTTTGTAGGCATCATGCCATTCGAGTATATACCCAGATGTGAATATTCATTATTTTGAACTTCTCTTATTTGGTATTTGTCACAGTTTAACCTTAGACTAAAAAAGAAAAACACCCTCCCCAGCCCTGAACAGCATAAATGTTTTCACACAGCTTCCCTATGTCAGAAGGGTTTGTGTAGACTAAGTCTCAAGGTTCATATTTATATATTCTACCTAGCCCTCAAGAATGAATCAGGGTTGGTTTAAGCCAAAAGAGTCATTCTATTTCCCTTCACTACTGATTGTTATGGTGATAAGCGCATGACCTAGTTCTGGAAAATCAGGTATAAGGAGAAATATCCTGGGGGGTAGGAGGTGCTCCTAGGAAAGATTTTGCTTCATGAAAAGACAGAGAGCCACATGAGACAAGTAAAATAACAACAACAACAACAATCAAATACACAACACAAAAGCTCTTTTTTCACCTATATCCTCTTTCTTCCTGCTTAGAACAAAAGGTGGCGATGACACTTGATGATACTTGAAATTTTGGCAGCCATTTTGTAACCATGAGGTGACATGTCACCAGCATAATAAGGGAGACCTAGTAGAAAGATGGAAAAGGCCTGTGTGTTTGAAGACACCACTGAGTCATTGACTCAATTATAGAAATACTGGTACTTCCAGACTTCCCATTATATGGGATAATCAAATATTTTTATTGTTTAAAATACTATCAGTCTGGTATTCTGTCACTTGTCACTGGAGCTATCTTCAGTGATATGTTATATATGCAAACTACATACTAGAATACTGCCATAAAATAAAGAAGATGAAATGTGTAGTGGTAAATAAAAACTCCTAGACAGGTTAAAAAACCAATTGTACAAAAGAAGAATTGGACCTATTTGGTGTGATAACCAAATACGTGGGAGAAAAAAAGTTTACTTTATCCAACAGTATCAAACATATTTTTAAAAAAACCTCAGGGTGCATATGAGAAATATCCTGATTACTATAAGCCAAGCTTTTCAGCCCCTTTATGACTCGTTATGTTTGATTCTGGTTGTTACATTTTACAAGGGGCACTGATAGACTGGAGAGATTAACAAAAGAGAATGTATTAACTGTAAAAAGCCAAATATGGATACTTTTTTCAATGAACTTATTCAACAAATGCTTATTCAGTCCTTAGGTGAGGAGCCCCCAGGAAATTCAAAGTGAAAAAACAACATGAACCCCAATCTATAAAAGCTTGGGTTTTAATAACCACGATAGTTCTTCCAATGTTTAGACCCAAGCTTTCGTGTTGACAGCAGAACAAATATTCTAAATAGTGGGTAAACATTAAAGTGAGCTGAATGCTCTCTTTATTAAAAAATAACTTTCTAATTATCAGAGTTGCTCCACATTGGACGTTTCCTCCTGAAGTGGTGAGATCGCTATCACAGGAAGCATTTCAAGCAGGAACAGGATATGTTAAGTAATTCCTCCCTGGACAGGTGAGTAGACCAGGTAACCCACAAAGTCCTTCCTATTTCCCAGGGTCTTTGAGTCTATAACATATAAACAAACTATGATTTTCAACCATATTCATCATTATGGTTATGTTCCAAGCCCGGTGTTCAGTTTTGGAGATAAAAAGATGATCAAGACCATTCTTTGACTCAAACAGGAGACCAGTGACACAGAAGAAGCTAACAATACTCCAACGTGACATATTAAACTAACAGAATGATCAAACTGCTGTGGGGACATAGTGGGGTGAAAGTAATGAATGCCTGACGAAAGGAGGGGAGACCTCTCTGAGGAGGTCCTATGAGCTGGTCTTCCAATGAACATGAGGTCTGGTCAACATGAAGAATTGAGACCATCAGCCCAGACCACCCCTTTGAACCCTGGACTGCTATATTAACTTTTGGCATTCCTCAAAGTCACCCCAAATTCAGTTTATCCAAGAATCAACAAATGATCTTCTCCTACATTTTAACTGCCAAAGCCAGGGTCTCCATGCAGAACACCAATTTCTGTCCATTTATTCAAACCAGAAAGAAGCCCGGGGGCATCCGTTTCCACGGCATTCCCTTTACTTACACGTGCGATCTGACATCAAGCACCAAGCCCGGTATGCACATGTATGTGTGTATATATTCTCTAAGAAGTGTGTGTCTGTTTTCTCCAATCTAGTCATCTTCAATTCCACTGTCTCTCCCTTGTCTAGTATATCTTCCTGTCTAACCTACCTGCATTCCTAGCCCCATTCATGCCCTTCTCCAATCCTTTGTCCAAACAGCAGCCAGAGTAATCTTTTGAAAAGAGTCATCCACTCCTGTGTTCATTCCCTTCCCTTTCATTTAACTCTACCTGAAATCCCATGCCCAAACTTTAGCAGAGAGAAACCTCTACTCAATTTTGAATACATTCTTTATGGTAACCTTCTCTGTGAAACTTACCCTGAAATTCCCCAGGCACAGCTAATGACTATTTTCTCCTCATTTCCTTGACCTTTGTTTATACAATGACTATAAAAAAAATGATCTTCTGTATGTGTATGTAATTGGCAGAGAGTAAATGTTCAGTAAACATTTACCAAATTTATGTATTTACAGCTAAATCCCTCCTCACTGCTGGGAACCAATAAAAGTCCAACTTCACCACAGCCCCCATCTCTCACACACAAGTGTGAACCCAAGCCCTGTCCTGGCTAACCCACTATTCCACCGACCCATTCTGCTTACTATACCTGATACACTCTCCTAACCACTAGCTCTGGACTAAATACTTTAGTACATGATCTCACTTGATCCTAGTAAGAAATCCTGGAGTATGCACTTTCATTACCCCATTCCTCAGAACCTTGGTGGTTTGACAATCCATGTGCATCAATGTCTCCAGCTTCCTGACTCTGCTGGCTTATCCCAGTTCCTGAGCCCCTGATGTAGTGAGCAATGTCTCTGCCTCTGGTCCAGCTCATGGGCTGCACTAGGTCCAGTCTCCCACCAAAGCTATTCATGTTTGTAAATGCAAGCAAGGGATCTGTTTTGTAACACAAGGTAATAGCGCTCGCTATCACAAAGGTTTGGCAACTGTAAACAATGAGGTACAGTGATTATGTATTTATTACATTACACACGTCTTGAGAGTTAATAGCAGTGATACCATCATGCACTTTGCTGAAACTAAAAAAATACCTGCCAAAGTGAATGCATGTGTGACTGTAAATTATGAGTGACAAGCGTCAACTACTCCCCTCACTTCTATCTGATTAGCTCCGCCAACTAGTGTCAAAATGATACCATAGCTAGAAATGACAGCCAGATGGGTTTCACGACACATCGTGATTGAGGCCATGTTGACCCTCACCTCCTGAAATACCGCCAGCCCTTAAATAAGGTCTCATCTGTGCAGGTGGGAGTCAGTTGCTGCAGAGTGAAATGCAAACTGTTAAACCACTCCAAACTCATTCCATCAGTATGAAAACTTGACTAATGCCTTCCATTTTTCCTACCCTTCTGAACACTTTCTTACACAGAGAGCTCTATTTTAATAAGCCTTCCACAGTTTTTAAAAAGAAACTTTTTCTTGAGTGACAGTGTCAATTATAATAATCCTGTCTCTAAAATTCCACTGCTCTGCAATGGCTGGCTTCCAGGGCCAAAACAAAACAAAACAAAACAAAAATGACCTTATTAATTACAAAAGAGAGTTTACGTATAGTTCTGGTCCAAAAAAAAAAAAACAGGACAACTTTGAAAGATGTGATGTTTCACAACACATTTTTTATAGATCACCCCTCACATCGCCTCTTAATGCTTTTACAGTTTATATCACTGGATTCGGCTTCATTGTTCTAGCAAACAGTTATGAAAATGGCCTGAAATAGAAAGTAAACACATCTTTTCACAGCTGGTCCCTTTCAAGAAATAACAGATGGTTACCTCGATCTGTGCGGTATGGTTGGCATAATACTTCAAGGCTTCGTCTCCATCATCTGGATCGGATCCTGGCTTCAGCATGTGCTGTAACAGCTTGTTGTGGCGGGCCAACTAGAGGGGCAAAGAGAGAAAAAAAGTTTTAGGTTTCTTCCCCCTTGCCTGGGGACAAACTTTGAAATTACTTTGTCCACTTACATACAAAGCTTCATAGTTCTGGGGTTAATGACAACTAATTCCATTTCAGGAAAGCCTGTCTATTTGAAAGGCATAAACCATGAAATCACTACGGCAATCTTACATTTTTATTGGATGACGTATGTTCTTAGTATGAGAAGACCGTGTCCTGCCCAGAGTAGGTCTTCCTTCAATTACTACGTGTTGATTACATTTATATCTTCGAAAAATGTATAATTGTGCCAGAAAGAAGGAAGGCCCACAGTGAAATATAACTGATACTCCTTATAATAAATTTAGACTGATACACATGTAAAGTAACTTGATGAGCAGGGTGATAGTTCAGTGGGTGGCGCTACCAGTACAAATGGCAGCTTCCTACATACGCGTACATAGGTATCTATATTTCTAATGGCATCAAATCAAAGCTCTACAATTAGCAATTTGTACTAAAGTCCGATGCGTCTGCATTTTCATATGTCAAAATTGGTGCTTTATGAATTCAGATCTCAGCTTTATTGTAACTGAAACTGAACAATTAAACACAAAAATTTCACCATAAATTATCTTAAACTGCTGTTAATAGAAGCAATCTTTCTCTCTCATTTGAATGTCTATGGCATTTGTTGGCTGGTTCTCTCACTTTGTAGATGAATAATACCTATTGCCTTCAGATGATCTCTTTTATGGTTGTTTTGAACAATCTCTAAAACCTTATAAGCCTTTAAACTTTCAGATTTTCCAGTAAGCCTCGAGTTCCTTGAGGGCTTCCAGTAACAAAGAATCTGCCATACAATTCTTTTATTCCTAGCAACACTCCTACCTCTTACTCTGTGCCAGGCACTATCCTAAATACTTAAGTACATGATCTCATTTGATCCTAGTAAGAAATACTGGAGTATGCACTTTCATTACCCCCACTTTACAGGTAGGAAAACTGAGGCATGAAGCATTTAATGGACTTGTCTGTGATAACATAGCTTTCAGAGCTAATGACAGAACCAGTATTGAACTCAAGCTGTATGGTTCCAGAAGCAATATTATCAACATTAAAGAGCAATAAATAAGTATTTATATTATTTGTGAAGTGTTAATACAAACTGTGAGTATAAACAATGAAGACAAATTTTAAACAATAATCCAGAACCTATAAAACCAAATAGACATTATCCTTGTTACTGATAATTTGGTAAGTTAAATATTCATTCCATTGATGTTACTCTTCATTTTTGAAACTATTATTTTACAATGGCTTTCAGAGATATTTATAAATCACTCAAGAAAGCCATTTTCTTCTTCGTTTTGGGTGAATTGTATTCTATTCCATATATACCTATGCTGCATCTTCATTATCTATTCAACTATAGATGTGCACTTAGGATGCTTCCATATCTTGGCAATTATAAATAATGCTGCTGTTAGTAGCAGGGTGTATGTATCTTTTTGAATTAATTCTTATTTTGTGGTTGGATTTATTCCTTTGATAACTATGTTAGTTTAAAAAGCTAAAGCTCTAAACATTCTTAGAAACAATGAACAGTATGTATGTATAAATTTAAAAATATATGTTTGTAAAAAAAAAAATCGATCAAGCCATGAAAGACATGGAAGGAACTTAAAAGACATATTACTAAATGAAAGAAGGCAGTCTGAAAAGGCTACAAACTATACCATTTCAACCAAATGACATTCTGGAAAAGGCACAGCTACAGAAACAATAAAAAGATCATGGTTTCTAAGGGTTTGGGGAGAGGCAGGGATGGGGGATGAATGAATAGATTGAGCACAAGGGATTTTTAGGGCAATGAAATTATTCTGTATGACACTATAGTGGTGGCTACATGTCATTATGCGTTTGTCTAAACCCACAGAATGTACAACATCAAGAGTGAACCCTAATGCAAACCATGGACTTTGGTTGATAATAACGTGCCCGTGTTGGTTCATCGATTGTACCAAATATGCCACAAGGATGAGGGATGTTGCGGGTAGGGGAGTATGTATGTGTGGGTGGGGAGGGCTGTGTGCAAACTGTATTTTCTCCTCACTTCTGTTGTGAACCTGAAACTGCTCTAAAAGAATAAAGTCTATTAAAAAAAAAAGAAAGCCATTTCCTGTTTATATTTACATTTTATTTTTGACTTAAATGTGAATTACACAGATTTTTATTACAAATCATAGTCATAAGACTTGTGACTGTAGGTGTTTCTAAAAATCTTAATGAGTTTCAAAGGATAAAATTATTGTCATCATTCAGGCATGATGGCACATGTCTTAAGAAATGGCCAGTTTTTGAAGGTAAAACTGGCATGAATTGTTTACAGATTGGATCCGGGGCATGAGAAAAAGAGAGGCATTAAGGATGACCCTCAAATTATTGACCTGTATAACTGAAACTTTAGAAATGCCATTTATTAAAGAAAAATGCAGGAAGAGCATATTTGGGGGAGAAAACCAGGACTGTGGTTTGGGACACATGAAGACATCCAGAAGGAGACAGCACACAGGCCGCTGGCGGGTTTGTCAGGAGCTCTGGGCAGGGGTTGGGGCCGGAGTTGTACATTTACGGGTCGTCAGAACATGGCTGATATCTATCTAAAATCATGAACTTTAATGAGATCACCGAAAGTAAGCTCAGACAGAGAAAGGAGAGCTAAGGAACTCTGATGGAGGTTAGAAAGATGAGAGGCAGACTGAGAAGGCTGGACCAGTGAAGAGGAACAAAACCCACGAAATCAGGTGTCCTGGCAGCTGAACGAAGAAAGAACTTCGACGAGGGAGGGAGTGATCACTGTGTCAAATCAAATGACGACTGGGAAGGGGTCACTGGGTTTATCAACGTGGAAGTCGTCATGGGCAATCTTAATAGCAAAAGTTTCAGGCAGTGAAAACCTAGTTGTAGTGAGTTTAAGTAAGAATGGGAGGAGGGCAAGTATAAACAATGAGTGTAGGAAGATCTCCCAGAGTATTGCTGTAAGCGGGAGCCGAGAAACAGGGTGGTAGCTAGAGAAAGAGGTAGGGTGAAAGGGAAGATTTCCTAAGATGGCAATGATAATATCATGTTTGTTTAAATTTGAGAGAGATGGCACATGAGCTAAAGCAACGTCTTGACCCGGTGAGAATGGAACGATGTACTGTGTAAGTGGGCCAGGTTGCCTCAGATGGAAACAAATTCACCCACGGTGACAGCAGAGAAGGCGCACACAGGCAGAGGGCGGTGGGCAGTTGTGATGGTGGAAACACAGAGTAGTTTTCTGCTGGTTACTTTTATTTCCTCAGTGGAGTAAGAAGCTGA